TGCTCCATCTCTCCTTCTATCTTGCTGGTTGTTACTAAGTGCTCCATCTTTCCATCTGTCTTGCCCATTGTTACTAAGTGCTCCATCTTTCCATCTATCTTGCCAGTTTTTACTACATGCTCCATCTCTCCTTCTATCTTGTCAGTTGTTACTAAGTTCTCCATCTATCTTCCCAGTTGTTACTAAGTGCTCCATCTCTCCTTCTATCTTGCTGGTTGTTACTAAGTGCTCCATCTTTCCATCTGTCTTGCCCATTGTTACTAAGTGCTCCATCTTTCTATCTATCTTGCTGGTTGTTACTAAGTGCTCCATCTTTCCATCTGTCTTGCCCATTGTTACTAAGTGCTACCATTCTTCCATCTATCTTGCCAGTTGTTACTAAATGCTCCATCTTTCCATCTATTTTACCAGTTGTTACTAAGTGCTTCATTTTTTCTTTCTTTATCACATGGCCTAGAAACTCAACCTGTTTCTTTTTACTTTCTTGATGATGTTGCATGTTGTGTTGGCTTGTACCATTACTTGTTCATTACTTTTTCTTCTTAGTCTATGCTATTTCTAGCATTCTTCTTAAGAACCACAATCAGCTGCTTCAAGTTTTCTTTCAAGTTCCTTTGTTATTGTCCATGTTATAAAATCAGATCACGTTGAATCTTTACCAGAGTATGACAAATGTGTGTATGTGAGCCTATACATTAGTCTAAGTATAGTTTATTTGTAATTACTCTGACATCATTACAGAAATAAGTTATATGTTCATTAACAACATACAACATACATATATATGTATATATATCAGCTCATAAGATAATAGATAAAAACTTTTACAATGTATTTCATTAGAAAAGATTTGTAAAAAAAGGTGTACAGACAAAATATCAATTTTATCAGTAAATATTGCCTCTTTAAAACATCTATACATCATATTCTTTCAAAACACATCTTAGCTTTGTTTTATCTGCCCAACATTCAAATAAAACTACACAGTATTGTCACTTAATCATATGCATCATTTTTGTAAGTAGATTTCCAGTACTAATCAACTAATGAAGCACATGTTGCTTTTATGGTGTTGGTAGGGCAAATATGTGTCCTAATGATGGTGAAAGTTCCGATGTAATAACACAGATGCATCATGACCACAGCATCTGACCGCTCTTGCTCCTGAGCAACACTAATAATACCAGCCAAACATTACATGCCTAATTGATGCTGTGTCATAAGAAATCTACAGTGAGTAGATCTTTGATTAAGATTTAATGTCATAGTTTCGAAGAACCAAGTTATAGCTGTCAGTGTCTGAGATGTGCTCAGTATACAACTTTACACATCTTTCACCAATTTTTGTCATTTTTCCAAACATTTTTCACAATCACAAGTTTTGGGACATCAAGTATTTCATGGAACATATTAAAATTTCCAGTTTATTTAGGTATAAATTCCACATTTCATAGAGGACCATTCTAAAACAGGTTATGTTATTTTCTCTTTACCTGCCGTTTTCAAACCCGACTCTGAAATATATTCCCACCAAAGTGGTTACACAACATGACAGACAGTAAATTCAAGATTAATTAAACCTACTGAAACCATACTTCTATGTTATATTATTGTTTTATAGTGCAGTGGGCCATTGTAGACCCTGAGAAATAACCCTCCTTTTAAAAATATTTATCATAGTTCTCAATGCTTTATATTTATTTCTAATTTTGTTAATAATTATTCACATTTAAAATGATAAATTGCTTTACTTCCTTTTGGTTTCTAATTACTTTTCCTTTTATTAATTTTATTTTGCATGAATATATTTTTGAATAAAATTCTACTTTTTTAATTAATTACACTGTTGTTTTAAATACAATACTGTCATGAACCTGTAAAATGATATTGTTAAACCTAATTTTGTATTCCTTTTAAAAGGTTATTCTATTACTGTTTTCAAAGAACCTACAGTCACAAGTTAGATATTTCACCTGATGTAAAGCTCATCAATTCAAACAAGCTTTAATTTTAGTTATAAATAGTCTGTAAAACTTTAATTATAGTTATACATAGTCTGTAAAACTTTAATTATAGTTATACATAGTCTGTAAAACTTTAATTATACTTATACATAGTCTGTAAAACTTTAATTATAGTTATACATAGTCTGTAAAACTTTAATTATAGTTATACATAGGCTGTAAAACTTTAATTATAGTTATACATAGTCCGTAAAACTTTAATTATGGTTATACATAGTCTGTAAAACTTTTTACCTGATACCAATAAAAGTTATAAAACTTTGTCTTTAATTATAGTTATACATAGTCTGTAAAACTTTTTACCTGATATCAATAAAAGTTATAAAACTTTGTCTTTAATTATAGTTATACATAGTCTGTAAAACCTTTTACCTGATACCAATAAAATTATAAAACTTTATCTTGGCTATTGCTAATAAATTAATCGGGTTTTATTTTAAGATAAAACAGTATTTTACTGAGGCAATAAATACAGTATTCACTATACTCTTAGTGAATTTTACAGTTTTATATTTGACATGTAACATTATGACTGCTTGGAGTAACAGACTTAATAACAATAGAACACCATTTTATTTTCAAAAGGTGCAGAACAAGAATGTCCAGTTTACTTTAAATCAATCGGTTATTTTTTTGCACGTATTTTATAATTTATCATAACACAATAAAATGACAGTTTGAATTCATCATAATTGTTATAAAAGATATCAAATTAAAGAAATAAAGAAAAAGCAAAATAAGAGATATTCTGCAGAATGCGTCTGAATTAACGCAATATTAGTGTTATAAGGAAATTTGCAACCTGGTACACTTAGCATGTAAACAATGTATAGTATACTGGTCACCCTCTTCACTAGAATATAACTAGTTATTTAGTGTAGGTTCTTATTGTTGGTTACCTGGTGAGATTCAAGCATTAAAAATAAGATAAAACCTCATGACTCTAAATGTCATTTCATAACAAGCAAAGTCATCTCAAAACTGACAAGTCAGTAGATTCACAAGTCTACCGCTGTCTATATTCAAAATCTGAGTACAAATACATTGTGTTGGGTTTACATATATGTTAATCAAATCCATCACAAAAATTATGTTGTATGTTTAACTGTTTCTGAAAAACTCAAAAATATAAATGATTCAACAAGTTCGAGGGTGTAGAATACTTTAGTTGGGGAAGCACAATATTTAGTAATAAAATATCCAGTCTAAACCCACATTGTCTCTCTAAAAACAAACAAGATTTTCTCAGTAAAATCAAAAGAAAGTCAGAAACTTTGAAATGTAATAAAGTACATTAAACAAACTATTTTTATGAAGATTGGAAGATCATAAATTTTATCAATATTTATATATAAATATTTTTTTACTTCAATATAACATTTCTAAGTTATGAACCATTGTTTAATTTGATGCCTTAATTATCCAGACTTTTAATGTTAATGTATGTTAACTCCATGTACAGAATTCCTGAAACAAGTGTAAAAAATCACTTGGAAACTGGAATTTTGCTGAAAGACTGTGTAAAATACATGTAACAAACACTGTTATATGGTATAATTTAGTGGTGGTGCAATAAATCAAAAAGAAAAATTTGGCAGCACATGACACAGAGTGGCATTTAATACTCACTCTCATCTCAAATATTAAACAATCAACACACTGTCAATGGCATTTTGGGCTTTCATCACTAGACATTGTTAGAGGGGGATTATATAAAGTTTTACCTTTACTAGTGTCACACTTTTCAACGGACAGAGGATAAGTGATAATGTATTTTTTGTAATCAAGCTATATTCCATTATTTCCTTTATAATACAGGACGCTCACAGTGACACCAGGGGTAGTAACATTATGGTTCAGATCCAAATGCCTATTTTGAACCTCATGAGATATTACGGTCATTATGGATGAAAGTTTTGATAACAGTCTGGGATGAAACAATGAAACTAATGATAAAACAATGCATTCTGTGTTTTAACAATTCTTATCTCTAGTTAAATCAGTCAGTAAAATTAGCTACATTATTTACTGGATTCATTTTTAATAATTATGATCTACATAGAGAGCTTGCTATAATCAGAACCTATCAATAATTTTCACCTTGATTGATAGCTGAATTTTTTTCCAGTGTTAAGTGGTACCTGGGTCCAAAGGTTTGGGCAAAATAGCTAGGTACAGTGTAACGGAAAGCATATCCACAACCCTGATAAAGAAAAAAATCAATGGCAATTAATTCAAATCAAATGTAAAGTATTATAAATAATGTTAACTTTATAAGACATTTTCTTTTAGGCAAAAAAATTCAGTCTTTTTACAATAATTTAAACTATGAAGAAAATACTTGAAATATCTATCTATCATGCATAATTTTAATACTAACCCCATTTAAAAAAAATAGATAGATCTTTCTTTACCTCATGTCTGAGGAACTCATTATTGGTATATTTGCTCTTTCAAACATTTTAGAACTAGATGACTAACTGTCATATCACAGTAAGTGCTTATTAAGTTTTCTTCTAAAAATTAAATCTAAATATATGATTTATAAAAATTCTTTCTAAATATTAATTATATTTTAGTAACAATATATGTACGGAGAATGTTTATCTTTTTTCAAGAACAACATTTTTTATGTATATTTGGTTATCTCTTGTAAGTTGTCCTTGATTATAATTTTGACTTCTGTATATTTTTATGTTGTGTTCGAATGTTCTTAATAAAGCCTTATAGATTGAACTATGCAAAAAAAACTGATTCTTGAAGAAATATTCCTATGCAGTCTAAAGTCTGACCCTGCAATTTATTAACTGTGATGATAAAGGCAATGAATTTTATGGTGAAGGGTAGATTCATGAAAAATGCTTATAAAGTTTTTAACAAAATTTTTAAAAATCTCTCATAAAAGGTAAAACATAACAACAATAATGTACTGTAGCACCATCTATTGCATTGAAAAGATATTTAAGTTGTTTTGACACATAGTCACTCGTGTATATTGTGTAATATAATATTATCCCTTATTTAATATATAATTGTATTCATATTTTTCCGTATATTTAAAGAGTTTGCTGTAAATATGATAATAAATATTTAAGAATATAAAAAAATTAACATGAAATTCCAACCCGCCTGAGACAAATCACTGAGCCAATATGAATGCTACCAACAGACAGTCAAGCATTATCTACAAAAGGAGTCTTCCGAACAGTGAGTAAATCTTATATAGATACAGATAATCTAAAAAATGTGTTTTTACAACAAATGATGCCACTACTTTTCTAAGTTATTATATACAAGCTACTATCAAATAATAATAAAGTAAAATGATTCAGTTAAGATGCAGGTGGTACATTCAAGTAATATCATTTCATACCAGCTCACTAGGTAAAAAAAAAGCATCGTAAACAATCCATTTCAGCTTTATATATCTGTAACAACAAATCCTATAAAACATTACAGTTATATATATATATATATCAACAAATCATTTACATTAAAAAATAACTTGCATACCTTTCATAACAAAATAAACCAAAGAATTAGCATTTTATTCATTTAACAACAAAATTTCTGAGCAAATAAGCCTTTATATAAAACATTTTGAGGCAGAAAATTCTTTTACTTTCATATAGAACATTTTGCTATCTGTTTATCAGTAGAGCTAAGTAAATATTGTAATTGTATGACAAAAAAGCATTTAAAAATAAATTCTACCACCAAACTGGAATCTTAGATGACATAGAAATATTTCTGATTACTAATTCCAATGTATTTCAAAAATAAATACTACATTCTGTCTCATGTCTTATCTTCAAAAAGTGTATCTCTATTCTATTAAGTCTGAACAGACTTTACAATCAAAACGTTGGCTTTTTCTAGCTTTCCAAGCTTTTTTATAACATTTTAAACTTTAACCCTCAAATTCCAACTTGATTTCACAATATTCACCATCAGTGGATTCCATATATTGTATCAATATTGAGTGGTTTTATGTTTTTGTTTGTTAAACTACCCAGGGTGAAGAACTGACCAAAAAACACAGAGAAAAATCCTTAACTTTCTATTCAAAACACATAGGAGACTTCACCAGTAATTAATGGGATTAACTCCAATACTGGTTGAAATTATTTTATATCTTTTGTGTCTCATATATTATTAAAGACCCTGTAGTCAACAAAATCAAGGACCCACAAGCAATTTGATAGGTAAAAAATTTAGAACAATTTGCTTAAAAGCTGCCAGGTCCATATGAGCTCCACTGGTAATTTTCAAAATAGCCAGTTTGATATCTTCAAAAAAATGTATTTTTCCAAAATCAAGATTAAACTAAATATTTGCATTATGATAGTTTAATGAAGAAGAAAAGTTAGAAAAAGGAAAGAAACAAAAGTCATAAAACCACATCTAACATGTAACTATTTCCAGATAATAGTTCTTTAGATAACAGGGTTTCCATATAGTCATGACAATAACTGTCATGCCTCTTGGAAACCATGCAAGATTTGAATGGAGTACAGCTCTCATGAAGACAAAGATAACTAATAAAAGCAAACAACTTAGTGATTGATTGATTTCATGAAACTTCTGAATGGCTAAGTTAAATAAAATTAAAGGGCATATTATGATGATTGAAATTTTATAGAATATTTTGATTTAAGGATTTTTCAAGACAATCATGATCTTGATCAAGAATGCTGTTAGCAAAAATCATGAAACCTAGCCTGACAATGACAATGGTGACATGATTTTGAAATGTCAGGTACTACATCACTGATAAGTCTTTATCAGAATTTTTCCATGTTTTCATGATTTATAGCTGGAAGTAGTGACTACTACAACCAACAAAATAAAGTATCAAAAGAAATATGTTAATGAATACCAATCAGGTTTAAACAAACTAGATATAAAAATTGAACTTTCTGAGCAACAATAAAAAAACAAATTAAGTTGTAAGATAAAATGCAGTATTTTTAATGTTTTCCAAAAGTTTCTTACAGTAAATTTCTGGAAATTTTACAATCTAAGAAAATGACATAAATACTAAATCACATTACACATTTTTTTTACACCAACCCCAAGTTCTCTATTTTGTAAGCTTGGAATAACTTTTATGTAATTTAATTAACCATTTTCACTGTGAGAAGGAAGAAAAATCAAAAGATACCAGTAATTCCCCTCCAGTCCACAAAGGGTTAATTTGAAAGTTAACATGCCACCAGAGATCAAAATTTCTGAACAAGTGTTAAGTGTGAATGTCGCACTGCATATATTAAACCTAGTTTGAAACAGGCTAATCCTACCTTCCATATTCTCACTAGGATCCAATTGGACTGTGCCCAGGCACGATTTTCATATGGTTGAAGCAATGAACTCACCATTGTTAAACAACTGGAAAAAAAATGAAATAATTTCAAAAATGTTCCAAAGAACCACATGTCACTGACAATCATGAATTATAAAATAACCAGAAAATCATAATGAGTAACTAAAATTTATGTCTTGAAACAACATATGTAGAGTTTACAAAATTATATCTACATTATGGTTAAAACACAAACTTAAAGTTCCATCTACTTTTTTCATCTATTATAGCCTCAGTATCCTACAGGATACATCTTCTTTAAATTAAACCATGAGCAGGAAAGAAAAACACACAAAAAAGATAATTTAGTATACTACTCTGAAGACACTGTATGATCTATTTTTTATAGAAAAGGAATATCCACTACAGCATTAATTTAATAGGCCCAATTACAACGATAATTAATTTTAGTTACAAGGTAACTAAAATAATGAGCTTGTTTAAAAACTAATTCAACAAGTTATTAATGATAATTTCTAAAAGACTATATACTGTGGTTAATCACACTTAATATAAACAATATTCTAGGTCCCATGCTGTCATTAAAACTATGTCTTCTAATATCATTAGACACTACTGCCAACATTTCAATTTCCATTGTAACAACTTCTGTGAAGGATGACGAGGTCAATCTAATAAGCAATGAAAGCCTATTAACACACTGGATACTGGTAGGTAAAAGTGTATGTGTCACAAGCTTTTTACAATTACATTCAAAATCAAACAACTTTATTATTTATTTATGTCAATAAACGTGGTATCAAATCATAGTTAATAAATCCACTTATAATATTATATAAGTTTCAATATTCTTTATTTCAAAGGAAAATATTTAGATAAATTCTCAATCTTCACTCCTATATATATGTGATACTTTTTTTGTTCTAAATTTCTTATTTAAATATTCCTTCCACCCCTATTTAAACTTCTGAATTTCAATACAAATGACTTATAGTAAAGATAACAATCTAAATTTATAGCCTCCTATCATTTTTATCTACAGATGTATGAATCAAAAAGTCAAGCTCTTGTAAACATACTATTTTTTCTAAGAATGTCAATAACAATCTCTGATATTTGTTATTACGTTATTTATAATCAACAGAAGGATATTTGAATCTTGTGAATTAAGTACAATGCTATCTTGTTTTGATGACAGCTTTTGAATTATTTGGCCTACAGGTTCAAAGTTGCTATCACTGAGTCACCCTGAACATAGTAAGGGAATTATCCTAAGTACAAGGCCCACACATAAGTACAATATTACTTATTTTTTATGTATATTTTTCTATTATTGGTAGAAAAGTAATTAAAATGTAAAAATTAGAAACTTATTAGGTTAAAAAAATATATATATATAAAACATTTTCAGTGAGGTATGCACATGTATTACATAATTCAATACTTTGTTTACCATAACTTGATTTCAAGTGATTTCTTGTTTTGTTATGCAGTTTTGGTAGTTAGAAACAGTTCAAAGAGCAATAAAACAATAAAATTAAATGAAATTAATGTAAACTGTTACAAGTCTGAGTTGTTTAGGATAAATAATTTTAGCTATCTGTTACAATATGTGGTCGTTATTGAAAGAAATAAGGTTAATTTAGATTTATTTTGTGGTGGTTATAAGGTTGGTTAAATAGAATAAGTTCATACAGAGTTATGGTAGAGAAAATAACATATAAAATATAAAGATTTTCTGAAAAAAACTTTTGATATTCATTTAGGAGGTTCTAAAGATGAAATTTAAAAACTGTAAAATGAAAAAAATATTTTTGAGTTTTAACATGAAAATTAACTTGCACTTAGACTAACCAAAGTCTGAATCAGACTCTGACTCCATAAATTCATAAATAAATCTTTAGTAAAAATGCTTAATTAAGAAAAACTGATTTTTGTGTACAAGACTCTTGTAATATTTACTAAAAGCATGCCAAGTTTTGTGAATATAAACTAACTACACTAAAAGTTACAGTGTTAAGTTTCAGGTTAAATGATAAAAATGGTCAAAATGATAAAGCCCTTTTAGAAGTGGTTAAGACTAGGAATTCCCCATAAACCAAATATACATGCTAAACATGTTGCCTATGTCATCAAAGTAAAAACTCGTGAGATATAAGATCTGTACTGATGGTGGAAAACAAATGAGAAATCTCATAATAATTATACAACTTTCTGCAAATCTCAAACCTTTCAACTGGTATAGATTCCAAGGCACGCAGAGTAACACGATTACACACATAGGATGCTAAAGCTTCAATCAGCAAATCTTTCAAGTCTATAAAACAATAATAATAATAGTCTTTGAGCATGTATACTTGAGATCAGGAAATGTGGATTCAAAATATTAATGAAACAGTGAGTAAAAGAAGAAATGAAAATGTCAACTCACGCTGTGCATTATAATAAATGTTGACCTCCATAAAATTACTACACACTTTGTAAACTTTCTTTTGACTCCAAAACTAATAAAATGCTACAGAAATCCAATTTCAGTTACTTTCGTTAGTATGAATAAAGTTACTGTTGCTAAATACAATCTTTATCTGACGTTCAACAGCCTTTAATATACTGAGATAGAAGGATATCGGGTATAGATGAACATTTCTTTAGTTAAGTGCTCAAATACAAATCATTGTTCATGATTAATCAATTTAATTAATTCGGTGAAGACAGCCTCTTTCTTTCTACACAAACTTTTCAACATTTGTCTATTGGAACTTGTGAAAGGACCAAAAGTTATCCACATTTCTATAAGAACCAATGATTTACACAATTTTGCAAGTAAAAAAAAAATCTTTATCATACACAAACCTCACTGTTACACTTAAAAAGAAGAACAAAAGCTTATTTAAAAAGTGCAAATAAGACAAATCTTACCAGCATTTACAATTCGTTTATCAGCAAAGTGTTCTGCAAGGAATGTGCCAAATCTTGTCAGAGTTTCCATGTATCCTAGAAGATTTAAAATACATCAATTTGTCACACAAAATTCAATTTCTATCCTCAAAACTATACAAATAATTTAAACATAACATACAAGTATATGTTTATTCAAGAACTATGTTATAAAAAATCAGAGGTTTTTCAACACTTTTTTTTCAAAACTTTCTAAAGTGTTTACTCTAAAAAAACTAATAGGAAACTGATTCAAAAGGAAAAATATTTAGAAGTTTTAATTATTATTAACTTCTAATCAAAGCAAGCTACCTAAACAGATCGAAACTGAAAATCAGAATGCATTGATTCATCAGTTGGTTACCCTCACTGTAAGCAACATCTTCAGCTGTAATCGCAATTATATCTCATGAGATTTGGTCAACTTAGGAGATTTAGGTTTATCTAAAACCACATACTAGGCTGACAATGCAAAATAATCCTTAAAACAATATATATATATAAATAGTTCTAAAGATATCAAATACATTGATTGTAAATATTGATTTTTTAGTCAGCACTATAAAAAAATAATGATGAAAATAATATAAATCAAACACATTACAAAGAGACTCAAAAAACAAAGTAAATTTTTCCATTACCAATCCTTGTTGTCAGCATTAAGAACTATTAAGGTAATGGATTTAGTTCTGTTTAACATCTTTTTGTAATTATTAAATAAAAGGGTGGAGTTTGGGAGTCTTGTAGAAATATAGGGGTAAACTGAAGAAGAAAGGTCTACCTTTCAAAAGTGCTCAGGTTATAGGGTTTTCATCATTTTATATTAAGACTTCTTGAACCTGTGTTTTTTTCTGACATCATGAATCATTTCCCTCTATTATCTCAAGAATGTTAGGTTCTATATAACAGCTGATAATAAAGTTGATGTGGAAGGCATTCATTATTATGATATAAATTATTTCCCTCAAGAACTGTAGGATCTATATTATCTCGGACTTTCCCCATTTAAGCCATTCTTCAGTCCCATTGATGATAAAACATCACTGGTTGGCCATCTAACTTGTTTAGACTATTCTGTAGAATTCCCAAAATGATCAGACATCAGTGTTAGGCTATTTATTCTGTTTATACCATCTTGGAAAATTTCCACAATGATTAAACATCACTAATTGGCTACCTATATCAACAATTTTCTTCCTACTTTGAGTTTTTACACGACATTCAATTAAAGACATTTGGAAGTGTCCTTTACTAGAGCCTCAGTCATATGTTTTAAATTTCTTCATGACTTTATAACAACTTCAAGACGTTTTTACAGTGTCTTTGGTATTCACCTATTACAGGTTCCCGAGTTGTTTTTTTCATACACTGTCTTTGATATTCTGCTTCTGTTGTGGTAAGTATATATGTACTAAACATGTAGTTAGAAAAAAATACCGAATGAAAAGTAAGTGTAAACGTTTAGTTCTATAACAGGCAACAATAAGTTTTAATTATTAAATAAGCAGAGGAAATATTACAGAATCTCAAGTTATTGAAACAAACTCCACAATTAGTTATTCATTCTTATATAAAAACAAAAATACAACACCGATCAAGACACATGAAAATCATGTGACAATTGTGATATTTAGTGGTTGTTAAATGACTCCTCCAATATAAAAATAAAATCCAAAAATTAGATACACTTACAGTATGCAGATTAAATCACTTGAAACTAATATATATATAACAAATCAAACTTACAAGCAACATTACAAAAGAAAATTGTGGTTTTGCTCATTTATTTCATATTTATAAAAACTTTTTCATGCCAATAGTCACATTTAAACACAACTATCACATACATTACTTATGTTCTTCTGTAATGATGTACAAACAAAAAATTTGTAGTGCTATCAAATAAAATACTCTTATATAGATGTGAAAGATTTTAAACATACAGTAAGAGAAAAACTTTAGATTTAAAGGCACAAAAAATAATTAAAGCTACAGGGAAAATGTGTTACACAAAACACAGTGAGCATTGCATTAAAAAAAGATAGGTTTTTGTACTTAACACAGTGAACATGTCCTCAAACAAAGAAACAAAATAAGAAATTATATAAACACGTTATTTTTTAAAGTAGTCTATAATTATTGATGATCAAATATCCCTTTTGTTGAAGTACTCTAAAGGTGAGCTGGATCAACTGACATGTACCAAGATCAAAGGATTGAAAGGGACTATTTCTATTAAACTGCCAAAGAAATATTGAGGTGGGGTAGTTTTTCTATATATTTGGTATCAAAGACATAACTAATGTTGTTAAATAATTGTTAATGGCATCCCTGAATTCATCTGCATGCTAAACACGTGTCAGTGACCAATCACATGATTTGATATGCATGTTTCTCTGGTGTACATAAGAAAAAGAAGTGTGTTCACAGCAGTCTGAAAAACAACAAACTGAGTAAAAAAATCCATCTTTATGACAATATGAAGAGCAATAAGTTGGCTGAAAACTGGCCAAAAATTACAAGTCGTTGCAACATGGCTGCAAGTGTGGTTAACAGAATATGGACTCACTTTCAAACAACCAATACAGTTGGCTGGATGGAGACCTAGACAAGGTAGACCATTGTCAATAAACCCACAAGATGACCACACATAACAATATGGGCTTAATGCAACCGTGGTTCTTAGATTTCCAATTTAATCAACAGTCCAGCATGGAAACTGGATAACAAGTTAGTATTCAACAGGCTGAAGCATGCTTTATAAAGTTGGTCTTTATACCAAACAAGTGATATGCTGCATTATCAAACTTATTGCTATAAAACAGCTTGTTTTCAGTGGTATGAAGAAAATGCATATTAGTCAAATGACGTGTGGATGAATTTCTTGTTAGCAGATGAGTCACGTTACATTGCTGCCAGAAATGATCATGAATGTACTTAAAAGAGTACCCAGGACCAGATTCAATCCCAATTTTACAGAGTAGAGGCACATATGGCAAGGGTTTAGGTAGAGGTCAGTATTGGATCTTACACCGACTTTACACACCATGAAATGATGCTAGAAATGCCATATGACAGACGTACCAAACAGCAGACAAAACTGAAAAAAAAACATGAGCCACGTTGTTATCTCACTAAGATATGTTACTATTCTTTTAAGTGGCCAACTGTCATGAGCCAATTGGAACAGCTTTATGGACAACATGTTGCCTGTATGCTGTACATAGAGACCCCAGCTCATAACATGGGAATGGAACCTAAATGCACTCGTACCACCAAGAGCAGTTAGACAGATTTTTATTTTAATGGATGATAACATGTACTCTCATAGAACTCTACCGGTTAGAACCTTCCTGGAAAAAAAGTGGATATCAAGTGAATGAACTGCTTAGTTTGATCACTGGCTTTGAATGTGATTGAACACATGCAGTATGGTCTGAGAAGGTGCATGTAAATCACCACTGAGATGAAATTAAAGCAGTGACAATGGAAAAAGTGTACTGCATTACTCCAGCAGCCCATTGATTCTCTCATTGTAAGTAGGCTACGTTGACTTACAGCTTGCATTAGTGTCTGAGGTGATCATATGCCTTATTGACTTATTCATTAGTAAATATTTGGATATCAGATCACATGGCACTTGATTTCTCTAGAAATTAAATCAGGAGTGTGACTGACATTACTTTAAGAACAGTAATTGTGTCTTGCCATACCTAAAATATAAATGTTTTGAGAAGTGCAGTTAATTATAATTATCAACTTTGAAACTAATAACTAATTTAATCAGGCAAGTTATGAAGAGATATTAAACATACCAGGATAACGACACTGAGTAGTTGAAGGGAACACGCTGACCAGTGCTTTAGAAGTGTGAATGCATGCTTCAATATAAAAATCAGGAACAAAAGCAAACAAGAGGCCAGCCTTGGAGGCTTGCTCTAAAGTCTGTAAGAGTACGTTCAACAGCCAAAACACATCCATTTCCCTCTCCTGAAGAGGAAAAATAAAGAGAAACAAAATATGAACCAACCAATGTGCCTTGTTGTATGAATGCAATATATTTTAACAATATAAACAAACTGTATAATAAATAATATATAATAATAATACAGTTTAACAACTTAATCTAACATGTTAACAGTAACACCATTTGACAGCTTATGAATATTAATAAATATAAGAGATTATTAAAAATACCAGCATCTGACAAAACGTTGTTCATTAGTAAACTGATACATAATTAGTGGAATAATAAAACTATTTAACAATTTTTTTCCTGAACTAAAGAAAAATGAAGTTGGATAACATTCAAATCCATGACTTTTGCTAACTGGACAGATACTTTAGCTAATCAAGTTATTACAACTTGAATGCTTTAAATCTCACTTCCCACTTTATTGGTAACTAAGAAAGGAACATGGCAGCCCTCTGAAAAGCTCAGATTCTTTTTACTGCCCCTTTTTTGTATTTGGAAGTAACAACTTTAAGAATTTTAACTACAGAAATTTTAAGAATGGCACACCATATTCTGTTAAGTTAGAAATTTCCTGGACAAATGAAAACTTAAAAACCTCATAAATGTTAAAAATGAAATCAATTACACGATTAACCATATGTTTCCTTTCTTCAGAAAAATTCTGACTTCAAATAACAGTGTGCCATTCTTAACATTTCTAAAGATAAACTACATAAACATGATCATTCAGAATTCATATATAGATCACAGCAACCAAATTTAAGTTTGTAAATACACAAGCATGATTAAAGAGAATTCTGAATGAGGTTCGTACACGTGACAGAACAGCAGCACTCAGCCATCCAAGCTGGTAAGTAAGTTCCTGTAATTTTTCTTGGTACACTTTACAAGCTTGAACAAGAGCATCTCTGGCATCTTCATCTGCCTTAGGTATAAGTTTTCGAACTTCTGATAATACATTCATGTACTCCTGCATTTTCTCTTTGATTGAGTACAGCTGAAAGTGATCAGAAGCAACAAAAGAAATATAAGTAACATGAGAACACTTGATTAAGCCTAGTATAAATATAAGTAACATAAGAACACTTAATAAACCTTAGTACATTGTAGTGAAAAGTATCATCATTAATTCATGAAACCATCAGCCACTGCACAGAAAAATCATTTGATAAATACTGATGCTGACTTTAAAAATCACAAGTTACAAAATATATTTTATCAACATAAAAACTGCTACTGTTTCAAGATCCATGCATGGTCATATTCACATATTATCCTAGTATCATACTGTCAAATGGACAGGAATTTGTCAATCAAATATATACATGTAGGTGCTAAATATGTCACTTGTGGTACCACAGCATACATCTGCAGCAATACACCACTGTATACAAAAACTGTTTGAATTAAGTGAATTAAATGCATTATAACTGTAACTGTCATGCACATTGAAATAAAGATTTTTTCTTTAATGTTTCTTGTGTTTTAAGTCACATGTACATAACAATTTTTGCATACTTATATGTCTATTAGAGCCACCAGAGTAGATTTTAGGTAATACTATTAAAACCATAATTAATATTGTTGGTTTAAAGCTTACACTGAACACTTCTTTAATAAAAACATTTGTTTTGGTTCTGTAATGTTCCAAAACACTATTTTATGGCTTGACAAGTGTAGAAAGAAATCAAATATAAGATTTACTACTACTTTACTTCTATGAATATCTTAAATAAGACTTGAAGAGCTAAAAAGTCTGGAAACCTTACATTATCATGAACATACATCCAGTGGTCTAAATGAAAGTGTATGAACACATTATACTTGCTTAAACATAATTTTCAAGATTAAAATCTCAATATTTCACCATTACCTTCTCTAACTGACGATGAGCAGAGTAATGATAAAGCCGTACAATGCCATCAAGAAGACTGGCCACACTGTCATGAATAGGCCTTTGATCAAGTTTTGACAGGAGTTGCAAGTCAAAACTTCTAGAACCTATAAACATTTAAAATGAGTTTGTGATAAAAATACTATTACTCATCTGGAAATAAAAATGGCTTTGTTGAAAATAATAAATTAAAAGCAAGCAATTAATACATACATTTAATCTTCTATATAAAATATTGTAATTATTTTTATTCACTATTTTACTACACATTATACTGTTCTACACACCAGTAGTAATGTAGATAACATTTTATTAATTTTGCAACTCTCAATGGACCATATATTTTGTCTGTCTATCTTAGTTGAAGAAATTGTTAAAATTCAGCACAAGTTAATAATACTTAGGTTTAAATAATTACTCAAGTAAAAAATTCATTCCAAACTTAAGTAATGGTATTCATATCATTCTATTCCATTAAACATTATGCTAATTTTACAATACCACAACTTTTATGCCTCCAATACTGCCAGGTGCTAAACTAAATCTCATAAATACAAGTACTATGAACTCAAACCGACAAGAAATCAGGCTGAAACCTACAGTAAAAGAATGTTTAATGTGTTAAAAAATATGCCATTATAAAAAAAGGTCATTAATATTAGTTATCAACTGTTAATATTCTAATATTAAAACTATAACTTTAATAATTTTCCTAAAACATATAGTATTGAAAATAATTATGGATTTGGTTTGGTTTATTTTGAATTTCACGTAAGCTACATGAGGGCTATCTGCACTAGCCATCCATAATTTAGCGGTGAAAGACTGGAGGGAAGGCAGCTATATCTCACCACCCACTGCCAACTCTTGGGCTACTCTTTTACCAATGAATGCCAATTGAGGCCACTTCACACTAATTTATATCCTATTGTTCTGAGAATAGCATTCACATCTGCACTTTCAGCTAGGTCATTGGCTAGATCTCTACTGAACTGTCATGTATCATGTAACAAAAGCATATCGTTACATAATTATAATCACTTTTGAAGAGTTTTGGCTTTCTACCTAGACCACTACAGCCACGGGCCACAACAGCTTATTTGGGTGGGGTTTGGACACACTCAAAGCTCCACAGGCTTACATGTAAGTGTGCATTTTTATTACATTTAGGGAGGTCCAAAAATGCCTATTTACCACATTTTTATTAATTTGAATGAGGAGAAGAAACATTTTTTTGTGACATGAGCAATAAGTTATTTTTCATATTCCTGTCAACAATCAGTGCTATGAAAAATATTAATAAGTTTTACATTCTGAAACTTAGTAAGAAGCACCCTATAGATACAGTCAACAAATAAATGTCATCGGCCCACAAATCAAGGAACTAACATGAAAATTATAGATTATGGCAAGGGGAAAACAAAACCAAAAGAAGGATAACAATAAAAAATACTGATTTTGGCATCAAGATATATGAAGCTAACTGAAACTACTTAAAAAAACACAAATCAAGAAAACTACAAGTGAAATTGGGAGATAGTCTTTATGACCATGGGGGATGACTCCCCTAGATCCACCCATTACTTCTATTACCTAAATGTTAGTTTCACAAACCCTCTTCAGAATATACATACAGCTCCTATTGAAACATGCAGTTTCATTTTAGTTTATCACAGCCAAAACTTTAATTTCTACATTTGTTGTGTGACATTACTGTTCTGGAGGAAAGCACATGCATTCATAGAATTCATAAAAATGTCCAAGCTGAAATTCTAGGGTATTTCCAGGTCATTAGGAGAGGATACATTACCAGAGAATCAACAAACATACTATGCAACAAGCTTACACCAGATTAAAGTAAAAACCTGTTGTTTAATTCTTATCATTAATTACCATTAAATCTTAAACATTCTGTAATGATGCCCATAAAAATACATAATAGTTAAATTTAATAATATTAAATTTTTATTACTGACTTGTCATACTTACAATGAGACAAGCTCTTCATTCAATCCTAGAGCTAAATATACTCTCTTATATAAAGTCCTGTTTTAAATTTTAACACCAGCTTATTACTGTATTTGTTAAGAGAATTTTTTAAATTTATACAGTACTAAGTATACATAGATCAAATATGTAAAGACTAGTTAATAATAATAAACTTTTAACACTTCAGTGTCAATGGCTTGTTATGATTACAATGTGACAAGTCCATCACTCAAACCTAGTGCAAAATATAGTCTTTAAATTTATTACAAGTCCTTGTTAACATCTGTTTGTCATTGTATTTGTTAAGAGAATCTTTATGTACAGTTCTTAACTAATACTAATAGTTGACATGAATGTAGTTAAATCTAAAGTAAAAATTAAATTTTTACAGGTTCTTCAAAGTTTTTAATTTCTCAGCTAACTGGGATGAGGTTGTGTACAATTCTTTTGGATGTTACTCTTATCAGCTAAAAGAAAGTTTGTGATAAATTTTGCCTTTAGTGAAAACTCATCTGCACATTAAGTTCCATTATGTCTTCCTCCCGACACTTTTTTTTCCACTTCAGGTTGCCAGTTTTATTCATTACACTTATTATCTTCTTTTTTTAATTACACTGACTCAAGAAACTTCATCCAGGTAGCCTTGGTATCTAGATCTTGATGCAGCACAGGACTTAAAAAAGACCTTGGCTAAGATCCATATCCATGATGTTTCCAACTGAGATGATATGATCCTGTACAAGGCAGTGCAACAAACGTCTCCTACTTCAGAATTGTTACTTTTATATGCTTGTTTACAGAGAATCCCCTCTCAAAATTAGCTTGTCCATGGAACAGCAACAACAACTGGGACACAACTTTCCAGACATGATGGTAGATACGATTGTCCATAATGGGCTTCAAGAGGGTATCCAGTCTGTCATCTTTATCATACTATATTCACACAAGAAGTTATAATAAAATATACATTTTAATGTCCCAGTTAATAATAGTATCTCAGTTATTAAAGTAGAATTATACTATAAATGTCTATACTCTGACTTATGAATTAAAAAATCCCACCATCATGTAATCTTCTCTCTTAGTTGGCATCTCAAGGAACAATGTATGCAAACTACAAAGAATGAATACCATGTCCCAAAAAAAGAAGCTGTTCAACTATGTTTGAAGGAGCCATGGACCACAAGAACACAGGTTTAATAATTGGCATCCAAACTCCTCCTTCATTTTGCTCTGGAACTTCTCGTAAAATGCCAAATTAACATAGAAACTTGCAGTATGTGATCAAATCTCAAGTTCTGAGTTCAGGACTGGAGATTTTCTATAATGTCAGTGGCTGTACCATGACCCAAGAAAACTGAGCCCAGGTAGTGACCGGTAATCCTATAATCACTTATCCAGAACCATACTATAGCATCCATTTGATGCTTTTTGTTATGCTGTTGTAGGACTCATTAAATAAAAACCTCATTGAGTCTTGTGCTTTTGCTCTCTCCATTAAAATATGCTTGAAATGGGATGCCAACCTATGATAGACAAGGTAGTTGGCTTTTGTTCACCACAAGTAAATGTTTCAGTAATTTGGCTGTCCAGAAACATGGCCCAGAAAAGATCCCCCATCTTCACATGATATATAACTGTAGTGAGGAGATATTATTTATAATTATCACAGACCTTCAACATGCAAAGTATATGTATTAGAAACATATGAAACAAGACAAACATTAGACCTAGGCTTATCAATAATATTACTACTAAAAATGTTAAAGGATTCCATAGCTCTTTTGTTCTTAATAAATTCTAGGTGTTTCTTGTATGTCATATGGCTCTTACACACGGCCTCCCTCAAGTTGCCAGTGCCAGAATTCCTTAAACACAGCTGACAACATACTGTATGTTTGCCTTGGCCTCTCTATAGCTATAAACAATATTACACATCGAAGAACCAATACACATTGAAAATGCACAAACCTATTGTGGTCTATTTATTTATGTCAAACTCACAATTTAAGTCATAAATTAATTAAGCAAGTACTTAGCAAGGTTATTAATGGCAGTGTTTTGTAGAGATGATGATTCATGGAAATCAAGTGACAGTCCAGTTTAAATTGATTCCTTTGATTCACAAAATCAACAAAATATGCAGCAGAAGAAGTAACTAGCTTAACAATATAAGCTCATGGAATGACTCAGGAGCTCTTGAGTCTGGTATTTTAATCATTCTGGAATTTTCAACTCAAATCTACACACAAGTTCCACATCATAATAATTACAGATAATGTTCATAATAATAATTATCATCATCATCAATATTACTATTATTTTTACTGCTACTGCTATCATACTACAACAAACATACCCAGCCATTGTGTTGTTTAGATGGTTTACTTTTTTGTTAATTTTCACTAACTACAGCTGATAGATTTTTATAAGGCTGTTAAACTTTTAGCTAAACTATGTTGAATAATTCATATTCTGAAGTTTTCTTTGGGATTTTTACTAAAATGTGTTATTTTGTCAACCTATATTTCATTTCCTGTTTACAATGCACAACTACTGAGATAACCAATTTTAGATTATACATCTACTCATTTTACATTCAAATAACCCTTTGTACCCAAGTGCTTCAGTCTAGATATATTGATTTCATTTCAGTGAATCAAACGAACAAATCTTTAGAATCAACTCATAAAATGAATTCAAACAAATTAATTGGGTCACTAAAATGAATCGAACTACCAATCATTAACAGTGTTTTACAGTTTCACATCAGTCATGTAAGCATAAACAGCTCACATGCACACACTTGCCAATAATGTTGCACATTTTTATGTGTTAGCTAGAATGTTAAAAGTAAACATTTTTAGCTTCAAAATATTAAAATTTTTATTCAATTAAATTATCTTTGATAATCTAAGTGGATTAAAAAAAAAGGACCAAAGACCATATGACCTATAATTTAAGCATTTTTCCATAGCTCCTATGCATGTTCAGGATTTTTCCAAAATTTTCAAGGCTTGGAAATTTTGATGTTTAAATTTTGGTACTTTTAAGCACTTTCAAGGACCTGTGCAAACCCTGCATTTATCAAGCTATTTCTGAAATAAGTATAACTGTCTATACTTTTATAGGCATTATACTGATTTGGTACAATATGATTGGTTGCATGACAGTCAATCACAAGATAAACTTTAAATATGTGAATCTACTCTGATACAGTTCATTGTCATGTAACAGAGGAAGAGCCATCCTAAATATTTGCATTTTATTAATTTGTTTCCATAATTATTTCCAATACTACATACCAAAAACAATTTCTATTATTTTTACATTAAGAATCTATACAGTAGTGGTAAAGTACGTAAGTTAAAATCGATTGGAGTAATTGTCTTAAAACTTAAATAAAGCTAAAATACATAACTTTAAAGTATTCATAAAGTAGTATTTAAATGATAAATTTACTGACAAAAGTTGTTTGAACTAAAAAAAGAATTTTCATTATGCCTAGACATGCTCCACACCGTTCTAAACAAACAGAGGGGAAAAATTTAAAAACTGAATATACTAATAAAGTTTAAGTTATCTGATGTACATCTAAGCTCTAATGGTGTCTTTTTTTTTAACATTCAAATCACTTGATATATATCTAAACTTTAAGAATGTCTTTCTTTCTCCCATCTCTGCATTTGAGATAATTGGGACTTAAACAAATAACAGTTACTGTTTAGATTACCGGATGAATGTCTAAAATCTGAAGTTGACTCTCTTTCCTTCAGTTCTTCAGCAAAAGATTTTGTCAGATATGAGATTAAGCCACCTGCTCGTTGGGTGTGACTATATGGCTTAGTCTGACTGCAGAAGAACCTTAGTGGCACATGCATGTCTGGAAAATAAGATAGGTATCACTTTATCGAACAGAATTCTACTCAAACAAATGATTGTTTAAAGTCATGATATCCATTAAATAAAAAAAAAAACTACTCATATATTTTTTTTTCCTATAAAAGTATATTTGTAGGAAAAGTTACTTGTTTAGTTAGGTGATACATATAATAAATCTAAAGAATGATTAACACTGCTGCATGTCTTAAAAAACTCTTCACTTGTTTAACTTATTCTCTCATCAGTAGTGTCACTAGCCAGTGGGAGAAGTGGTTACTGGTAATGTAAACCTTAGAATAATCTCAAACTTCTTTCATTCATTCTCTCTTCAGTACTGTCACTAGCTAGTGGAAGAAGTGATAACTGGCATTCAAATTGGAAAAGAATCTCACCTTGTTTAACTCGTCCCCTCCTCAGTAACGTCACTAGTCGATGAAAGAAACCCAGATTGACAGAGGAATGACATGACTGTGCTGGGGGAAACTGAAAAGTAAAAGAATTTTAAAAATTAAAAAAAAACATTCCCTATCCTCACATGCCTGAAGATGTGTTAGAGCATGAAAGACCAGTTTAACATTTGAAATCTTCCCACAATACCACAATAAACAAAATATTTCTGAATCCTGTATTGATACCTTTCAAATCTATGATTACAATCCAGGTGTTTGGTATTCACTACTCTTCTGCCAATTAATTTATTATGCTTTTAAATTATTTTTGTAGTAAAGCTAAAGTAAATTAAAATGCATGTATTAATAAATTTTAATTTTTTTTCAAAGAAAAGTGAGCATAAGAGTTTATTTATAAGAGTTATCTTACACGAGCAAATATGACATATTACTGAAGAATGTTTAAAAGTATTAGTGTATTTCAATTCTGAAGTTAATAAACAGAAATAAAATGTCACACAAACAAATTCTAGGTATGCTTCTTCTTAAATTAAAAAAAGTAAAACAACAACAAAAAACATACTGCTAAAATTTAGTTTGTTTCCTAATCAAACCTTGATTTATTTAACATTTCTTTGTTTTAACTCTCTCTCTACAGGCATTTTTTTGTGCACATCATGAAGTTTTAGTGAATTATACTGAGAATTTAATTAAACTACTTCTTTTCATGGGATACCAATAAATATAGCATAAAAACATAGCTAATCATCCATATTTTAATAGAATATAAGTTTTAAGTTCAAAATTTTATAAGGCAACATTTAAAAATTGTGAGAATTGTGACATTTGCTCTCTTGGCATCCTTTCTTCTCTAATTTATTTACCACCCCTCCAAAAAAGTACAAAATTTAACATAAATTACTTATTATAATATCATCATCACTCATGCAAAGCATAATTTTCATAGCCTTCAATTTTATTTGGTTACAGAACCATGAAATAGACAACCAGAACCCCACTCACCTGTCACATCTTCTCTTCCAGAAATTGCCAATTGTTCTCTCTAACATTCAATACTATATTATTTATAACCAACAGAAAGCCAAGGTTTTCATCTATAAAATGAATTAATAGCTCTTGTTGCATAGCTAGAAAGCCAGATAAATTGTGATAATTATGGGAGATATTCTGCTTTTTTGCATGTTATTATTCAGTGTTCATTGGTGCATTATTTAATTAAATAAAAAATATTTGGTGCAGTACTATCAATAGTATGAAAAAATTGGATTAAGTGTCATCAACAGTTGACATAAAAAAAAAGAAGACCCAAGTAAGTACTTTCTCTTATTTGTCATGTGTATTCTTTATTTATTATTATAAAAGTAACTAAAATGTAAAAATAGAAAACTTTATATGTTAGTTAAAGGTTATAGTAGGCAAAATAGACAATAATAATAATAATTTACAAAAAAAAATTATGAGGTACGCTTGTAAGCAGCTTGTGCGTAATGTAATTCAATAGCATAAAGTGAGCTGCAAGTGATTTACAACTTATAATAAAAATAGCACTTAATCAGGGTTCAAAGGGTAATAAAACAATAAAATCTAAGTATAAATAGATGTATACTATTATGAGTTTAAAGCTATTTAAGATAAACAAATGTAGTTTCACATTACAATTTGAAGGTATTTGAGAAAGAAAAAAGGGTAATTCAGACTTAATTGATTTTTCTTTTGGTGGTTACAAGTTCAGTCAAATTTACGAACTTTGTATAAAGTTAGGGTGGAGAAAATAACAGATAAATTATAGTTTTATTTAAAAAAAAACGTTTGAAATTTATTTATGAAGTTTCAGAGATCATGCAGTTAAAATTCGAGATTTTTGATAGAAAGAAAAGTTTTTTAATATTCACATAGATATTACTTAGCATTTGGACTAGTATATAGGAATACTATATGTATATTCATGGACAAGTGTTTAGTAAAATTACTTCATTAAAAAAACCAAATTTTTTTTGTGTAAAAAAAACTTGTAACGGTTAATAAAAGGCTGCCAAATTTTGTGAAGATACACAAAGTGTGTATTAAAAGTTATAGTGTGGAAACTATAAGTGAGAGAGTTAACCATTATCAGATTAAATTTCCACAAACTGAAAGTCTACAAATTTTAAATCTGAGGTTAATTACCTAACAAACAGAAAAATTATTGAAGTAAGAGTAAACCTTGTACAGAGGGTTGAATACATTATATTAAAATAACTTTAAATACATAAAGCAGTATGTCATGTGACAATCATAGCCCAACTGTTTGTCATTTTGTAGGTAATGTGATGCCACCAAACTCTGACTGCTTCTGGGAAGAATATGTAACAGCCCTTTCCATTGCAAAATATGTATATGCATATATAAAGATATGTTCAGATCAGGGATTTAAAGTTTCCACAATAGGGATATCTCTTTTACTTTATGGTATTTGAACATAAACGAATATGGATTAACTTGGGGTATCAGGACCATAAAGAAAGAGACCTCCAACAAGTCATACCTCTGCTTCAATAAGCAAAGTAAGGTATCTTGTAACAGGTGAGAATCCACAAACACAAAGATCACTAGCAGAAGCCATTCACATGCCCCAGGCAACAGTACACATTATCAAGAAGAATCTCCATCTAGAAATGCAACACAAGTCAGGTGTATACAAGTTGCTTTCATGACATATCTATTCAACTGTTACATACTTCACGCAGCTGTAAAAGGAAAATGGTAGCATTCATACTATCCCTTATAAATACATATTGGTCAAGTTTCTAGATGCAGCACCTATGGATTTCTGTTGAAAAGGAAGCTGGAAAACCATTGTCTTTGTACAGTAAATGGATTATGGAAAGCCTGAAGGGAGGAGTGGTGAGCTTTAAAAATGGCAGCCTTATGACTGTTTTTTGCAATGGAAACTACATCACAGGGCTATTGTCAAGATGCATGGTCACAATAATGATGTGTTGAAGCTCCAAAATCATTTCAATATAACATATTCAACCTCTGTAATTTTGTTGTTTGTGGAGGTAATGGTAGAGATGGGTTTATTTAGTGTTATAGCTGAACAAATTTTATTTTTTGCTAATTAATGAAATCAGGAGTGTTTAAGATCTTTACAATTATCAATTCATAAACAAGGTTTCATTAGAGGTTAAAAGTTTGAAAAAAATATTTCAGAAGAATAAAATTTGAATATTACAACACTTTATTAGGGCTTAAAATCTTAGATTGAATACCCGTCACAAGGTTTCAAGATATTTCCATAAGATATATGTTACCTAACTTGATGCTTAATGATACATATGTACATTTGTGTGTGCAGTTTCACAAAACCCTATGACTAATGTGTAGATTAACAGACTTCATATGTTTCAAATCAATGTATCATTCACTTACAACAACACATTAATTTCTTTACACCATTAAGATTTTTATCACACAAAGTAATATCTGTGTATTTGAAAGTTTAGGGTCTTCTGTCTTCTAAGTCATTTTGCAATAAAATTTTTGTATTCTCTTAAGCTGTTTAAGTTTTTATTTAGCTCTGAAGTAAAGTTTCCTCCTATTTGTGTAGTGTTTGACAGCAAAATGATTGTAACACAAAATTTTCACGTTGTTTTATGATGGAAATTTACTTTTTTGGCAAAGAACAGTTTGTTCCTTATGTTTTCTATTAGTAGATTTTTGTACAGTCAAATAACATTTGATCAATGTACAGTTGCTAATCAAAGGCTGTTGTACAGAGCTGAAAGATTATCCTAAATCCAAGCTTTTACACAGTGAAACATTCCAGTGATTTCTTTTAAATTGTGATTAATCCATTATAAGCCTTAAACAACAATTTAAATACAAGCAAATCACATACTAAAATCATACAAAAATCCCTACATTACTCAGTTACCACATATCACCAATTCTAAAAACAAAGTTTTTAAATGTCACAAAGTTGGTGAAAAAAAAAATATATATCTAAATGGAACAACCTCCAATTCAGATTTGATCACATAGAATATCTAACAGTAAAATATTACTTCAAATATCAAAACATCAAGGTACCCTTTTTATGGTTAACAAATTTCATATAGGATATGATGAACTGACACACTCTGCAGTGTCTTTTTAGATGCCAGTACAAAGATCAGTGAAAATCCTAAACAGTTTTTAAAAAGCACACTTCATGTTGTTTTCTGGAAGTGTTGTTTGAAAACAACATTGAAAACTCTCAAAAATACAACATAATTAGAGCTGCTTTCTTTAATTTTAGAGTGAAATAATAATTTAAATATTTTACATGATTTAAATGTTCAATAATTTTTTATTTTTAAAGTTTCTAGTTAAGCCACTTAAAAAGTTCTTTAAAACATTTCTAAAAAATAATAATGTAATAATAATGAAAAATGTATCATTATTCTCTAGTTTTGGCTTAAACCTTTAAGGCATAATAAATATACAATTTTTTTGGTTCCCTCTAGTTTCAGCAAATATTTTACACATTTATTATAATTCTTATAATTTATATTAATAAGTCCTTTAACAAAATTAATAATATAACAGATATTGTTTAGATAAATTATCATCTTCATTTTTAATTTCAATACTTGTTTCTACTATTTTGGAGTACTCAATATCACTTTCAATCAGTTCATTTAGTACAATAACTTACCTTACTTTTATTTGTATTTTCTTTCACAAAGTCATGGAACTTTTTCAGGAAATTCTCATTACAGTTATTCTCCTGTAAAGTAACATCAAAGACCAATAAGCATTAACTCTATGAGAACCTGGGTGAGTCAACTAATTGCAAGTGTTGCATGATTTGTTCTATTGCATTGCAAAAAACTTCTCGATTAAACACAGTGAAATCTTAGAATTACTTTCTACAGATTATGTAGCTTTTGAAAATATCTTATTTTTATATGTGATATTTGTATGACTTTGCAGATTTGATATTTCAAAAAGATTTTATTGTTATACGATTTTTTAAGAAACAAAAATGCTTACCACTGTTTTAGATAATAATTACAAACTTTTATGTCTTCCTATGTTATTTTAAAACTTTCCTATTAACAGTCTATTTTATAAAACTGTAAATTTTATCTTCACCTCGATTCAAAAGACAATGCATGCAGTGTTAGTGTTTATGATCACTGGCATGAAATAAAAATAACTTTTTTATCATAGCCAAATTATAAGCAAACTGAATTATTTATATAGTTAATCAGAAGGCTTCAATCTTATAAATATATATATAATAAGCTTTAAGTCCATTTTAAATATATTTATATATTTTTGTATATTTACAGTACTGTGCAAAAGTGTTAGGACAAAAGAATATTTGGTCATTCTTTCCATTTTATGGGCCTAGTTCTTCCATGACATTACAGAATATAAATTTCAACATTACGGTAATGCTTCACCGATCCCTGTTGACAATTGAATGAGC